CCATCAGTATTATTCTACACAAATATTTTTTTAATTTACGCGGTGAAACTTATTCATTTTATTCATTAAAACATGACTCAAGTTGTTTTTTTTCAAATTTTTTAACAAAAGTTTGCATCCTCTGTCCTTAAGATCAAAATTGATTTTTCTTACTAATAAGTCATCATTCAAAAATGTGCAAAAATTATAAAGATCATTAAACCATTAGAACTCGGCAAGAGAAAAAAAGTAAAATGACACTAGACTTTGCATAATACATTATTACTTTTTCAAGATGTAAAAAAGGTCGTCTATATCATGAAAATTATGAACATTACCTAGTCCATTAATCTTAGTTATGTTACAATTTCTGTTTAAAAACAAATTACCCTAATACATGTAGCATGACTTAGTTGGACCAACGGTGGGTTTAAGTTGGATGGTTGGTAGAATATTCGCGTTGGGGAACAAAAGAGTGCCAAACGTTGGTCCAACGTTGATCTACGTTGGCATTTAAGCTAAACCAACGATGTTGGCCCAATAACGGTCCATTGCTGTAATATGCTGACACAAAACATGGCGACTACATGTCGGACACTGAAATGCTGGTCCAAAATTTGTGCAACCTAGTAAATGTTGACCTGCAACAATACCACTGTGTGATTGGTATGACCGAGTCTTACCGAGTAAAAGTTGACACGTAACATGGCCACGTAGTGTTACACATTTAATGTTGGTCCAGCTAAGTATTTTTTTTTACAAATGAGACGTTAGCCTTGTATTTCTGGATGCAGTTGGTCCATTAGATGGAACAGCTGAATAACGTAGCCTGTGATGTTGAAGATAAAATGCTGGTCCAACGTTGGCTTAATAGTTTGAAAAGTGTTCATCAGCAATCTTAGGATTATTCGTAAATCGATCATTATGTAAAACGTTATTATTATAAACTTTGATCTATATCATGAAACGTATGAAGATAACGAACAGTATTCAAGATCCAAAGTCCATAAAACTATACAACAAGAGGCCCAGGGGCCACATCGCTCACTTAAGCTCTGACTATGTAAAACTAAATGCAAAAATCAGCTCAGTATTGAAAAATTTAAATATTAAAGTGGGTTCAAGTGGGATCATGATTTAAACGAACTTGAATCTGCACCACATGAAGATGCTTCCATATAACTATGACCAATCATGACTTTGCTATTCTTGAGAAGATGTTTAAAATATTTTCAAAAGATTTTCCCTATGTATTCCGATGTTAAACTTTGAACCCTGACACCCCCCCCCCCCCCGTCATGGCCCCATCCTACCCCTGTGGTCATGCTTTGAACAAACTTGAATCTGCACTACCTGAGGATGCTTCCAAATGAGTTTAACCTTTCCTGGCCAAGAGGTTCTTGAGAAGGAGATTTTTAAAATATTTTCCCTATGCATTCCTATGTTAAACTTTGACCCCCCCCCCCCATTATGGCCCCACCATACCTCTGGGGGTAATGATTTAAATGAACTTAGATTATGTACCATCTCAGGATGCTTTTACGTAAGTTTCGTCTTTCCTGTCCCTGTGGTTCTAGGGAAGAAGATTTTTAAAAATGTTCCCTATGTATTCCTGTTAAACTTTGACCCCCCATTATGGCCCCACCCTACCCCTGGGGGTCATGATTTGAACAAATTTGAATCTGCACTACCTGAGGATGCTTCCACATGAGTTTCATCTTTCCTGGCCCAGTGGTTTGCATCGTCGCAAACCACGGCCACAGACCTGCCTACCCTTCCGCTTTTGGCGTAATTCTTCCGCTTTTTACCACAAAATTACGCTATTACGCCACTAATATTAATTTTACGCTTTTGATATTCTAGTTAAAATTCCATTATAAACGATAAAAACAATGTTATAATGTAAGATTTCTTTTAACATTCAAACGCAAGCCTTCATTTAAGTGATTTGATACAAACTGACCAAATGCTTCATTCAGGGTGTACGGTTGAATTGAGTTTGAAATAGGATATTGGTATTTTACAACACTTTTTTGCTAATAGATTATTCGAAAAATTAAGTTTATGCAACATTTGTTTAGTAATGTACAACTTCGATTATTTTGAAAAAAAAGTATTATAGTAATACAAAAAATAGGAAAACATGATTGATTACGCTTTTGCGCAATTCCACCAAAAATGTACCGAAATTACACCTTTGCAATGAAAAGGGTAGGCAGGTCTGCGGCCAAAATGTACGATCCTCTCCCATTCTGGCCGCGGTTGAACGAGGAGAGAATTCTTCGTAGCTCATTAAAGTATTGACCAATGCGAGTAAAGCATAGTCGGAATATGAACTTTATCGCGACCTTTCAATATCCAGTCGCAGTAAAGGAAATATTTCTGGTATACTGTTGACGTCAGTTGTTGATTTCAAATGCGATGGAAACAAAACTTGCCACTGACTGAATATGACGTCACAATAGAGAGGCGTAAATATTCAAGATTACGACACTTTTTGTGATCAAGCAGCCACGGGTAGGAGAGAGCTATATGCGGACTCCGGACCGTGGGTTGGAGGACATGGCCCTTTATTTGAACAAGCTTAAATCCCCTTCACCAAAGGATACTTTGTGGCAAGTTTGGTTGAAATTGGCCCAGTGGGTCTTGAGAAGAAGATGAAACTGTGAAAAGTTTACGACAACGACGACGACAACAACGACAGACAACGGAAAAATTTTGATCACAATAGCTCACTGGAGCCTTCGGCTCAGGTGAGCTAAAAAAGAAGCAGAGCAAACACGGATCTCCAAAATATCAGAGGGTTGGATCAGGTGCCAGGGAGGAATGAGCATCCCCGGCCGACCGGTTGTGTTTGTCGATTTTCTTATTCTTCTTTTTCTTATTCTTCTTCATCCAAATTTTGTCCAGGCCGTAACTTGAATACCCTTTGACCTGAGACTTCATACTTAAAACATAAACAGATGACCTTGAGGCGGAGTATACATATACGCCACCAAAATTTTTGACCTTGATCTATTAATAAGGTCAAGCTTAAACTTTTACATTAAAATAGATTTTTGGCAATAGCTTGAGTACCCTTTGATATTAGAAATTTAAGCTTGTAACATAGAAAGAAGACATTAAATACAAGATGTAGTGCACCAGAACTTTGACCTTGACCCCTTTCTTTCTTCAAGGTTAAATTGAAGAAAAAAAAACATGATTTGAACATAACTTGAGATACCTTTGACATTTACACTTCAAACTTGAAATATGCAGAAAACATATAAGAAAAGGGTGTATGTGATCAAAATTTTTGACCTTGATGTAATGTTTATAAGGTCAAGGTCAAACTTTCACATCAAAAAAGAGTTTAGCCCATAGCTTGAGTACCCTTTGATATTAGGACTTAAATCTTGCAACATAGAAAGAAGACATTAAATAAACGATCTAGTGCACCAGGACTTTGACCTTGACCCCTGTTCTTACTTCAAGGTCAAATAGGGAAAAAAACATGTTATGACCATAACTTGAGAACCCTTCGACATTTAGACTTTAAATTTGGAACATGCAGAAGACACATAGATGGAGAGTCCATGTGATCAAATTTTTACCTTGATCCAATTATTATTAGGTCAAGGTCAAACGTCCATATGAAATATATCCTAAGTCATAACTCGAAACCTTTCTTGACATTAGGATTTTAAACTCGGAACAAGTAAAGACAACATTAAGCCTAAATATGCTACATCAAGTTATTTGACCTTGACCACTTTCTTCATTTAAGGTTAAATTAAGAAAAAACAAGTTCAGAGTATAACTTAAGATCCTTTTAAAGACTTGAAAGATGCACTGCATTATTATTTTTGACCTTGAATAGTAAACTACATTTGCAAATGTTGGTAAAGAAGGGGAGACACGTGTTTTTTGTATAAAAAAAACAATACCCACTAGTTCACATATGTATTACTTGTGACAAGACCTTTCTTAAGAAACCAACAACTAAGACCCTTTCATCTTGAAGTTTGACCTACCTTTCAAAAATTTATCCTCGACTATAACTTTTGCACAGGTGGTGCTAAGGATTTTCTATTTCACAATCGTACTTCTTGTGAGAAAACCCTACTTTGCGTAATAATATATTTAATTTGCATTTAAGAAAAGTTGAATCTTCGTTATGTTGCCATACGGGGTCATCAGTGTTTCACAAACACATTTTGTTCCTTATATTGAGAAGAGCTGGGTCTTTCATATTTGATATGTGCATTGTGACAAGATAATTCCGAGCATGCTATGATTTCGTACCCCATGACCTTAACCTTCACGATTGACCTTATTTTAAAAAACAATAACTTCAATGATAATTTCTAAATAAATGACATATGATAGGGTGTTCATATTTGACAATATGTCATAAAAAACAACATCTCACCCACAAAGACACCGAAAGCGGGGGACCACAATTCTTTGAATTTGCTTGTTTTTTTTTCGACTTTCTCATTTGACTGTCAGGGGTAGCACATCATTTTTTAAAAACTTTTTTTAAAACCCGATTGTTAGCCATATTAATTCTGAGAACTGAATGATATTCCTATTCAATAGACATTCTATATTTTAAGAATGAAACTTTTCATACGTTTTTCTTTCTTTTACTAAGTGTTTGTTATAGGCTCTATATATTATAGTTTAATTAACGAATAATTAAACTAATTACTTCAAAAGGTTGGTGTTATATATATATATATATATATATATATATATATATATATATATACGTCAAGTATTAATTATATTCCGGTTTAGAAAAAAAAAATATTTGTATGAACTTGTACACCAAGTCATAAAAAAATCCGGAATAAATCTGGTTTCGCAAGCTTATGTAATTTGCTTCACATATAAAAACCGTTCATTTTCTCAATTCGATTGAGTAGACGGTATCAGGTGATTCTGTGTTTTAATTAATTATTGTGTGTAATCATACTCGGTGGGATTTTTTTTTTCGATTTATAAACTCCAATCTAAGGACTGGTGTTGTCGCTATGGGCGACTTAAAGTGCTCGGTAAGATAATACACTTTTATTTTCCAAATTAATAAACAGGTTTGCTCCCTCTTTTAATGTATGATGCATGGAAGATAATCTAAGAATTTTATAATGGAGAGGGTTGCCTACCAGATCTCTAACGCTGTTTTATAATGTAAGTCCTTTAAGAATACTAAATATTACAATGTTCTTGCATTTACATATAATTTTAAAAAGCACATGTTTAGGCCATTTTGAAAAAAAAATGTTAAGATTCCTTCTGTATACAGATCGCCAGACTAAAAAGAGCCCGACTCAAAACCTCTCTTTTTTACATTAAAGGACAATTTTTTTTTTCGTCTTTTCCCTCTTTTCCCGTCAAAACATACATGTATGTACTTTTCAGAAGAAAGATTTTCACACCTGCTTACGGAGAAAATAATTTTACCACGAGTCATGAGAGGGAGATTAAATATTATTTTACAGATGGTGGGCCTAACAATAAAATATTGAAAGAAATTTTGTTTAAATTCTCTCTTGAAAGTCTATCTTAGGTTTCAATATTGTAAATAAGCAGTGACAATCACCCTAGTTACTTTAGAAAAAAATGTAACAAAGAAAAAACTTTTAAAGCTTATTTTTAACAGAAAAAAATATATATATTTATGAACTTCAATTTCTATTGAAGGAGGAATTTGGCTTTTTGTGGGTTTTATTTTTGTTGTTGTTGTTGTTGTTGAATAACTTAAATGTGTTAACATGACATTAAATGTTTAAAAATATTTAATTTTTGAATGAACACACATGTTTTACTCTACAATGCATCTTCATTCTGAATTTCCCTTTTCATTTTTCCAAATAAAGCAAACAATCATTTATCATTTAATTTTTGTTTAAAAAATATCACCACAATAAAACAGAAAGTTATTGAGAATCACCATTGTTTCCTTCCTTTATAGAATGGAACTTTTTATATCAACGATACTGTAGACAACTACGAGAACTATGACAACGATACCATAAAGAAAGGGATATTCCCTCTCTTACAGACCGACACGCTCCTAGCAGTATTGTACATTATCATTACCAGTACGGCCCTGCTGGTGGGGACTGTAGGTAACACATTAACTATCCTGGTATCGACCGTTCGCAGAGACGTCAACAAATGTGGAAAAGAATTCGTCGTTAACCTAGCACTGGCGGATCTCTGTGTCACAGCCATAGCCGACCCCATGTGTATCATTGGTATATTTTAATATTCTGTCTTATTTTATCTTTGTTTGAATTGCCGAGTCTATAAAGCTAATTTTTTTAAAGGCAATACAAAAGACTTATGCTATATTTTGTATTTAGGTGTCACACATGGAGACCAGTTTTTCCAGGGAAGGAAACAGTTTTGTATTTTTGTGGCAAGCCTTTGTCTGACTGCCTGTTTTTGTGCATTCTTCAGCCTGTTCCTTATGTCGATGTCACGCTTTATATACCTGCGCCACAACCACGTGTATGACAAACTTTTCAACCGTGTCACCAGCATTTTGCTCTGTTTCGCCTGCTGGATGGTGGCTTTCTCGTTTGAAATACCTAATTTTGTTGGTTGGGGAGGACACTTCTTCGACCACAAAAACCACCAGTGTATCTGGGATCGGACTGCAAGTTTATCCTATACCATGTTTGTATCAATGATTTTGATTGGTGCGCCACTCGTTGTAATGGCGATATGCCACTTTCTTATTTTTAAGCGTATCTGGGAAACAAAACGAAACATTTACTCTTTGGACATTGCCAATCCTTTGAGAATGAGAAAAGTTTGGAGAGAAACAGTTCGTTCATCTCAGATGTTGTTTTGTATTTTTATTGCGTTTGTCATCTGCTGGACGCCGTATGCCATTATTGTTACTTTAGATGTGCAAGACACTTTCCCAATGAAAGTTCATTTGTTCATTACTCTTACGGCACACTTACACTCAAGTGTCAACGGCATAATTTATTTTGCAGGAAACAAACGGTTTCGAATTGGAATTCTACGTCTTTGTGTTCGTAGATCAACTCGTAAAGGAACGCCTACTTCCGGTCCTTATGTGATTCCTCACTTAGATTCTCGTCTGTGAGGCGCCATGTTCTTCTGGTCCGAAAATTATGATCGCTTTAGTTTTATATTAATTGAACAAGTTGGATGAGAAAGACGATTCTAATGCTGAGTTGCATTTGTGAGTGTCAGGAGACATACACGAAGCCATTCCAATACACTCTCCTTGGAAGACAAAAAGAGATTTCTTTGATAATCCTTCAATGAAAGGGAATAATCTGAGCTATGTAGTGTTATTTGGTATTTGCGTTTATCAGAAATACCTACAATTTCCACAAGAATAATGCTACTGTCACAGGCTTTCCAGACTTTTTCCTTATTCAGGAAAAATGCCTTGCGCGAGTTATTCCGTTTTCAAAAAAAATTACAAGAACTGAAAGATTTTGTCACTATTATCGTTTAATAAAAACGTCATATTACATTGATATATTCTTTATTTGAAGACAAGCGGAGATTTTGAATTCTTCCCTTGCTCATTTATTTGGCACTATTTTATAAGTGGGTTGCTACGATTATGAGCGTCTTTGGAATCCATAAAAGAAAGTATATTTTTACTAATGTTGTTAATATATATCGTGTATGATGTTCGAGCTTCTTCTCTAGAGTCGCGAATTAAGGACTTGATCCTTACGTCGCGTGTCGAATCCCAGTGTGGGACGTGTCGACCGGTTCTTCGGATGAGATTGTATTAACCGAGGTCCCGTGTCGCAGTATAGTCTAGTATTTGCGTGCACGAAATTGGCCCTTCACTGCCTAATGGCCGTTAAGTGCCGTTGATAGGACCAATAGGGGCGATCTTTTAATTTAAACAAAAGCTGATAATGATATCAGATATCATAATATAAAAATGATTGATTAGGCAGTCATGTTACATGTAGTTTTTGTGTCTTATAAAAATATTGTCGTAAAATCTTGATTAATGTCATTGACAAAGATATATTATAAATTTATTTTATTTGGCGTTTATGATATTTGGCTTAAAATCAATTTAAGCCAAATATCATAAACGCCAAATAAAATAAATAATAATTTAAGTAATCTTAGATTTGCATAAGCCTTTTCTGAATGTGCTTTATATGGATTTATCAAAAAACAAAACAGTCATATTGATGTACCTGATTTAGCGGATGATGATTTCTCCGGAAGGCGCTAAATAGAATACACAGCCAAATGTTATACGTTTACAGTTAATCTGTTTATCGCAAGGGCATTCCATCAACCATTCAATGTTTCGAGCCAAGTTTTTATACACAAACTCAAAAAGCATTATTTAATTAGAAAACTCTGCAATCCTGATGAAATCTAGCAAATTAATCCTACCTTTATTTAATGTAGCTGACCATCAAAATATTCGGGTCGACATAATAATAATAAACATTGATTCTCTGAAAGTATCATCAAATTCCATTCAGTGGTATATGAGAAGATGGGTACCTCAAAGCGTAACAGACAGGAGGACGAAATTATAGACGGACATCCCCATTACAGACCTGCCTATCCTTTTCATTACAAGGGTGTAATTTCAGTATATTTTGGTGGAAATTCAGAGGTAAAAGCGTAATTTTTACTATTATACACGTTCTTAATTTCTTCCAAAACAACCGACATTGTACATTACTAAGCAAAGATGGCATAAAATGTTCTTTTTTGAATCATCTATTGGCTAAAAATGTAAAAAAAAAAAAAAAAAAAAAAAACAACAAAAAAAACAGTATCCTATATCAAACTCAATTCAACCGTACATCCTTAACGAAGACTTGGGTCAATTTGTATCAAGTCACTTAATTGAAAGCTTGCGTTTGCCTGTTTACACAAATAGTTCATTATAACATTGTACTTTATCTTTTTAACACTCACATTTCTCTATCTTGTTCTAAGCAACGTGAAAATAAACTAAACTGAGTATAGAAATGCCCTCTCGTCTTCTTTTGAATCTTCGCCGTACCAGTTTGCTTGTAACTACTAAGTGTCTCTATTAATTACTTTTATTAGAACTTTTCATTTTATTTCAGCAGGTCGTACTCTTTTAACTCTAAATTTAATCGTTCATAAAGAATTTTAAACCAAAATATCAAAAGCGTAAAATTAATATCAGTGGCGCAATAGCGTAATTTTGTGGATAAAAGCGGAAAAATTACGCCAAAAGCGGAAGGGTAGGCAGGTCTGTCATTAAGACATGTTCAAGATAAGTAACAGAACATGTTTATAAATTACTGTATACAGGTTTATTTTCGCCCCGCTTAATTTTCGCCCTTTCACCCTTGCACACAATTTTGCCCCGTTTTAATTTCGCCCAGGACAGTTTTGTTTAAGACATTATACTGTACAATATGAATTCGCCCCTTTTTAAATTCGCCCAATTTAGGTTAGGGCGAAAGGGGCGAAAATTTCCATGTATACAGTATATCTTGTACATATTATTATAATTTTCAAATAGAGGGAACTGAAAGATCATTTCTATGAAAAAAGTCACATATGAATCAAGATTGTGTTACGACATTGTACCATGGTAAATTGTATTATATGTACATGAAGTACTAGTTAGTTCAGAACCGCTTCCAATCTGCCTGAAAATTATGCAAATTTTGCTTTTAAATTCCCTTGTAATAGATACAAATTGCATCATCAGATCTAAATCAATGAAACAGAGACAATTATCTCAAGGTTTATTTGAAACCTGACAAAAGATTATTTTTAAGTTTAAAGTTTTTTGCAGGAAAATTGTTTTCATTTTTTGTCAATAATTTTATACCTAAGAAACATTATATACTTGTTTTAATTATAATTTATGATGTATGATTTGAATTAATTATGATTTATGATGTATATTTTTGATTTTCATCTCACCTGAGCCGAAGGCTCAAGTGAGCTATTCTGATCACATTTTGTCCAGCGTCCGTCTGTCTGTCTGTAAACTTTTCACATTTTCAACTTCTTCTCAAGAACCGCTAGGCCCATTTCAACCAAACTTGCCACAAGGCATCCTTTGGTGAAGGGAATTCAAGAAAATGAATTCAATGAAAATATTTGGCTTGTTTTAAAATCTTCTTCTCAAGAACCACTGTGCCAGGAAAGATAAAACTTATGGGGAAACATCCTCAGGTATTGTAGATTCAAGTTTGTGCAAATCATGACCCCCTGGGTTAGGGCCGGGCCACAATGGCAATCAAAGTGTTACATAGACATATATAGGAAAATTCTTTCAAAATCATTTTCTCAAGAATAGCAAAGCCATGATTGGTCATGGGACTACTTTTGGATTTAAACTTTTCAATAATAAACTAATTTCTACTTTTTCCTAGCCACAGTGCTCAGGTGAGAGATGTGGCCCATGTGCCTCTTGCTTTAAAGATCATTTACAATGTAGGCAATATAAGTTTAACCTTTTACCAAATTGAACTTAGGGATGATATGAGATTGCTATATCTACATTTGTTCATATTTTATGATATCTTGATAAATATGGAAATGTTGACTCTGGAAATGCAATTGTAAAATTCATGACTGTATTTCATTTACGGGTATCGAATAGTCATTACAATTATTGTCTCTTGGAGATGAAGCAATCTCCAGACAGATGGGTGGCCCTTGAACAGAGAATGGTGAAAAAAATTGAAGCATTCAATAAAGAAGATTCATCAAAAGAATTACTTTGATAATCATAATGGTGCTTCCTCAGTATCTGCATGTGTTCAAATTAAGAAGTTTCAAATTAAGATTTAGATAAAGCTCATTAAGTCATTTGCTGGATCAGATTTTGAGATTGTACTTATCAAATTTTTTTGGAATATCAGTATCAGTGAACGCTTGATGATTAGTTGTACAAATTCATATACAGATCTCAGTAATAGAATTTCCTTATACTTTTCATCAAAAGGATTAAAAGAATTGAAAGTCCAATACTAACTAGGAAAAATATATACTGAGTACATTACATAGATTTGATATGAATATATTATGATATTCATATGAAAGAATGATTGCACTTAGTGTACAAAAAGTGGCCCTCGGTAAATTGCGCAAAAATAAAGTATAGAAACTAGCCTCACAAAGTTAACAAAACAATTCTTCTAGGTCTTAATCGCTACTTTGCAAAATTACAGAAATTAAAAGTGAGTAAAATTAAAGAACGAGGCTGTGTTTTGTAAGAGGGGTCAATGCAAATCACGAATCTCCATTGTTATTCAAAGTTATTCCAATTTATAGAGCTGAAATACATAGTGAGCGCATGCTTGCCCAAATTTCTCAAAAGGACAGAAGGTGTAGAACTGTTGGAAATTCAACATATCTAAGGGAGAATTTTGGGCAAGCCTGCGCTCGGGGTAAACTTTTTGAAAAACGGTACAAAAGGCCGACAGTTTTCTTCACTGTTTACGGGTATTTACATGTCATTGACCTCATTGTGACCTGCTTAATATTCCAATTTACCACGTGATTTGTAGAATCAGGTAACATTGTGAATACAAAAAATCAATAAACCACGTGGTTGTAGATCCGATTGACATTCCGTCGAAAGGCGTCCAACTTAGACCGTTACATGTACATGTATATTTTCAATTAATCAACATAGAATTACCGGTAATTCTTTTTTTTTTTTGTCAAGTGTTATAATAGGGTAACCGTGATGGAATATTAAATTAAACACAATGTAACGATCTTTATTTGTAGTCCTTGGATTTAGGGGGGCAGGTTTGGAGGCTCAACGAGTTTCAAAGATTTAACTCCCATCTTCGAAGTAGCATCATTCTTCAAAGTGATTTTGACTGTAAAAATAGGACACAGGGTAGAAGTATGTAGATTGGCATGGAATTCTTAATGGTACAACCCCCCCCCCCCCCCCCCCCAAACAAAAAAAAAAACAATCGCACATACAATTAATAAAATTGTTTTAGTGATAAAATATTACCACATGTAGCATCGCAAAGAAATATATTCCATACACCATTATTTGTAAGAAGTATTTACTGACTGTACTTTAAAAAGTACGGAGAGAGAGAGAGAGAGAGAGAGAGAGAGAGAGAG